AGATTCCTGCCTGAAGTCCATTTCCTTCTCCTTGGCCAATCTCAGGTTCCTGCCAAGCAGCCCCAAAAGTTCTCCACAATATTACTTAAAATAAGTAAATACACACACACACACACACACACACACACACACACACACACACACCCCTCTTTGTTCTTCAACAGGCTAATTGACAAACTATAGCTACTGGCCAGGTCCGCATACCTCTCTAACAAATCCCGCTATCCCAAGGTAGCTTCTGTATAGTGAGAAGAAAGAATGAGAATTAAATTGGTTCACACTCCCAGAACGCTGAAAGGAAAAATTGACATTGGCAATTCCTATCAAGACGGCTGCTTGACAGGACAAAAGCACATGCGTAGAAAATGTTAGGGGAAATTTGAAGATTGCCAGGAAGAAGAACTATGAGCTTGCTAAACCCGAGTAGATGAAATGTAAAGGAGGAGAGGGGAACACAGATGAAATTACCCATCACAACTTAGAATTCTGTTGTTCAATACAATGCTACTTAAGGAAATTGGTTAGAATAGTATATGAGACATAATTTGTGCTAAGTGAATACTACCTACTTATTGTCTGTCCCTTCTCTTGCATAACGGCAGGCACACAGTTAAGGCCCTGTGAAAGTTACTCAAAGCAAGATGGATGGGATATTTTAATAGAACTCTAACATTTAGAGCAAAAATTAATGTGCCAAAACCTTTTTGAAGCTCTCTTTCCTGAATTCCACAATTCTGCAGCTTGTTAAAAATGGAAAGGCAATAACTTAATCACACAGAGACACACACAGGGACACACACACATACACACACACACACACACATACTCCTCTGATCATTATCATAGCAATAAGGAAAGCCCTTTAAAAAGCTCCAAATCACTCAGAGAATCAAGGAAAACCATTTCCTTTACAGGGCTCTAGTTTCAAAAATAGTTTCTTCATCCATAAAGCTGGAATACCACTTTTCAGGGATCTGAGTGAGCAAAAACAATTTGCCCATGGAATATTCCAGGCTACTATGTAGAACACCTCCTCAGATTCCTTTGCCCTTGCAGATCCTTAGGCCTTATGCACGTGCTAGGGAGATGAGCATGATGGGAAGAAGAGAGAGGAGGATCAACCACAGAAGTCCTTACCCATGATGCTTCTTGATTAAGTTGGTGCTCTTTGAATCCAGTGAGTGTGTGTTTAGGGGGAAGGAGAGCAGATAACATGTGTCGGTGGGTTCTTTCTGTGGGTCCTAACCATAGAAACTTGGCAGTAAGTTGAGCTATCTCACAGTTGCCAGGATAGAAATATTTTAAACAAGTATTCACACCATTAAGATGAACTCTCAGTTTCTAACAGGTATAACTTTCAACTAAATATATTAGTATTTATTTCTAACTATAAAAGGAATAGGTGTTTGTTGTGGAAAATTGTGAAACGTAAAAAAAAAAACCCACAAAAAAAAGCTTACAGCTTCTATGTAACCCTATGAATAGATTTCTGTACACACATACTTCTGCTCTTGCATTTCCATATTGCACATATTGTGTGTATTTTCTTTAACTTAATGAGAATGATTTTCCATTATTTTAATTTATAGTATGCTATTATGTTCCAAAATTTTATCCCCTACTGTATAATGAACTATAGCTTCCTTTTTTTATTGTTTCAAACAGAAACAGAACCTTGTACACAAATCTCTTTGAACATTTCCCATTGTTTCTTTAAACTAAATTCTAAAATTGAAAATACAGAGTTAAAGATATGAAGATTATAGTGAAATACGTAAGGCAGTGTGACTTCTTTAGAATTCTATATTTCTAAGAACAGTGACCTGATTAGAAGGACAAGAGGCATATTCTGGGTGGCTTCCCCATGTAAAACAACCCCAGATTCATTCCTAAGTTCCTACTCAGCCTATGAAATCCCAGTGTGAACTGTCTGTGCTGTCACCTTCCTAAAACAGGAGCCTGAGCTCTGCTCCATGTTCTGCATGCCAGACTCTTCTGCATGTCCTGTACCTGCACCTGCTCCTGCACCTGCAGACAGGGCAATATGGCAGAGGACTGAAAGAGACCAAACGGTCAGGATGCAAGAGGCTCCTAGCACATCATTTGCTTCTCTACTGTTCGGCACATATGGCCATGGGATACTTGTGAAATATCTCAGTCTGAACACGAAAGATGGGGTGCCACTAAAAAGTACCTAAATACATTCAAGAAAAATGAAAAAATATCAAGCAACACTTCTTCAGTTGCCAGATTCCAGTTTCAATTTTGGTTTCACGCTTCCCATCGAAACCAAGAGAGAATTCTACAGCAAAAGAAATGAATTACCCATAATTGTGAAAAATGGTTTTCTAAAGTTGAGACCCATCTTTGACCTTGGGTAAAAGTTACTAACTCTGGTGCTGTAGCAAAATACCCAACAGAAGCAACACTGGGGGAGAAAAGTTAGCTGGGGCTCACAGTTTTGAGGGTACACTGTATCTTGGCAGAGAAGGCATTCTTCAGATCTTTTTAAAAATTGTTTTATTTATTTACATTTTAAATGTTGCCCCCCTTCCTGGTCTGTCTTCCAAGAGTTTTTCACCCCATCCTCCCTCCCCTCTGCCTCTGAGAGGGTGCTCCCCCACCCACCCAACCCCACCTCTCCCCACCCCCACATCCTCCTTCCCTGGGGCATCAAGTTTCTACAAGTTTAGGCCCATCCTCTTCCACTGCTACATGTGTGCCAGGGGTCACAGACCAGCCCATATATGCTCTTTGGTTGGTGGCTTAATCTCTGGGAGCTCCCAGGGGACCAGGTTAGTTGACATTGTTGGTCTTTCTATGGGGTTGCCATCCCCTTCAGCTCCTTCAATTCTTCCTACTCTTCCATAGAGGTCCCGACTTCAGTCCCATGATTGGCTGTAAGTATCTGCATCTGTCTCAGTCAGCTGCTGGCAGAGTTTCTCAGATGACAGTCATGCTAGGCTGCTGTCTGCAAGCACAACATGGCATCAGTAATAGTGTCAGGGACTTCTTCACATTAACAGGTAATAGCAACCACTAGCAAGGAAATAACATTCCAGCAACAATCTTCCTATCTACCTAAGTCACAGAAATGCAGCAATTGTGTCCTTTTAAGCCCAGCTAGTCACCCCTCCCATGGACACTTATCCATAGGCCATAAAGTACAAAACTGTCTGTAAGAGTTAACTAAAGCCTAAGTCATTTTCACTGACCCTATCAGTATAAGGACAAAGTGTCAATGAAAACAAGGTCCTATCCATCTGCTTAGTCATTATCAGATTAAAAGAACCTTTACTGCAGGACAATTGTGTTTTTAAATCACCCACACTTAAGCTTCCTATTCATAACTCTCTTTTCTGTGTATAAGTAATGACGTGTTTTGACTACATTAGGAAGACAGTAGTAGTTCTGGGAAACTTACCCATAAACAACATAATTTTAAGCATCAAATCCAAGCATTCTCTGATGACCTAAGACCTAATCTAACATGTTGGTTTGGGAAATACATGCAACATCTTCCACTTTTGTTAAAGAGGATTAAGTAACATGTACTAACTCTCCTTCTGAGGACAACTAAAAGGATCTGAACAACATTACAAAGACGTTTTTAAAATTAAAAAGTTAGTAGTTGACTGAGGAATTGCTTGGCCAAGATAGAGGTGAAGAAACTCCAGGCTTGGTGGCATACAATAGTAACTGGAGCACTAATGAGGTGAAGGAGGGCAAGCCTGGGCTAGATAATGTGACACCACTGTGGTGAGAATTCTAAAACTGTGGCTTCTTTAAAAACCACAGAAATATTGTAAGAATATGTTTTCATTTTAATCCCAGGTGTAGGATATGGGGCTGCTTCATTCTGTCCACAGCAGCTGACTATGATTTGCGTCATGCTCTAACGGAGATGTGGTTTTGCCAGCTGCAGAGAGTTCTTGTGATTGTGTGACCTTTGGAATTCTGGGAACTTTTCAGAGGATATATAAATGCTAAGACCCCCCCCCCCAAGCCAGGGTTGGTGGACATTCAGAGGGGTTGGTTTCAGTTTGTTTGTAGTAAGTAGTGCAAAGAAGAAATTAGATTCAGGGATCTCTCTCCCCTTCTTCTTCTTTCCTCTCCTGTCTAGTATTAAGGGTGAAAGGAAGGGGGGGAGACAAAGGGTGGGAAAAAGAAGAATGCCAAAAGTAGCAAAGACCAGCTATAAGCAAAGAAGAAACAGAAGGAAAGAAATTAGATTTGAAAATCTCCCTCTCTCTCTCTCTCTCTCTCTCTCTCTCTCTCTCTCTCTCTCTCT